GAATCATGACCAAGAGTCTTTGAGCGCGTGTTCACAGATTGCACCACAAGCAGCTATTCAACATCCTTCCGCACCACTGAAGCTTGACCACAGCTCGCCTCTGACTTCTCGTGAAGCTCCACCTGTTCCTGCCATCGTAATTCCTCCATTCTCATTGGTCACCTCCATATCATCTCAGGCGACGCACTCCTCCAGAGAACCCAGTTCTTCTGCAAATGTCACCGTTGCTACCACCACTGTAAATTCAACAGAAATGAGCATGAATGCCTACAGCAATGCAAGCAGTATGTGGACCGGCCAACAACTTACTTCTCAGTGGGATGCTTCGAATGCGTACGCATTGACCAATATGACAAATCTTCACCCCCTCATGCAAAGTTCCGAATCTCTATTCTATGGTGTCGGCCCATCGATGATCAATCTCAGCATGGATGGATTGCCTGAGGTTGATTTCGATATCCCAAACTTAGCCTTTCCACCGGCCTCCCTCCCCACTGCACCCAGCATACAGGAAGCGTCCAGATCTGATTCGAACTCAACTTCAGCTCTGTCTACTCTGACTCCTGCGCTCATGACACAGCCCACTGCATCTGCGGTCTCTTCCACAATGGCGCGGCAGTGCATGCAAGTGCCTTCTCCAGAAGCTCTACCCGGAGCTCAAGACGAGCAAGGTTCCTCTCCAGAGGCACCTGTTGTGAATCCGATCGAGGCCATTTCAGATTCGACACCTATAACAACAGCTCCGAGACGATCACATAGAGCAGGCCAGGATGAGGAGTCAGCCACTCCTTTGTCAGAACAAGGCCGTCCAAAGCGACGTTCAAAGAAACCTGCTCATGCAGATGCTATGCCACCTTGGCAGCAGAAGATGTTGCCATCCGTTGAAGGCAGGCAGGCAGGCAGGACGAGACAGATCGTTAGCGAGAAGGAGAAGAAGAACGAGAATGACGGTCGCACGAGGAAGAAATTGAAAACAAAGTAGGGCTCACCCACCTAACATCTGGGGGAGTAAGCGTGATGATATATGAAGGTGTCCATGGCATTACTATCTCTCTTCTTGACCTCGTGCTCGCATTATACTTGTTTGTTTTTCTGATCTTGTCGCATGGTGCTCGTCGTTTATTTTCTTGACCTTCTTGGAGTCACTACAGGTACTCTAACCATTAGGTTTTCTTGTGCGGAGTCTGCCGCAAAAAAATTCTCAGTAATGGTATTCAATAAATGTGTTATGGCTCGACTACTGGTGTGATCTGACTCAGCTAGGATGCCATCCTGCCCCTAATAACTTGATTTTATCTTCAGACCATTTGTTTTGTCACCTTCACATCATTGATGCTCAAAACACATGATAACTTCAGAAATGTCAGCATTCTCTGTGTAAGGATGTGCATACAGGACATTCGGGACTTAGTCGTGATGCGATTCATCAAAAGCGCCTGCGGAGCACCCACGGAGCGCCCACGGAGCGCCCATGGGCTGTAATCAATTCCATGATGTCGATCGAGGCTCCACATGTGGCTGTGCAGGCATCATCAGCACTGCATGATGTCATGTCTGCCGTCATGTGTTGCTCTGCCTGACATGTCTCCGAGTTCGCCACTCACGCTTCGCGCTTGCCACTCTCACTGTCACCACTTAGTACTCAGTTACTCATGGGTCAACCGGTCATACTTCGCATTTTCCACTCTCACCAGTCACCACTCACAAGTCGCGCTTCACGTTTGCCACTCTCACTGGTTGCCAAACAGAGGAGGATGGTTCCTGAGAGGAGATGTCGGATATCATTGCATGCGTGATTGCAAAATGGTAAGCATTCAATTTTATTGAGCAGTATGATATATCGTGGTGCTGCAGCACCAGGAGAAGGCCAGTATAGATATACTGCACTGCAAGGGCGTGATGTATCGCTCTCCGAGGGGCGTGATGCATCGGGTGCTGCAGCACGCAATGAGGGTGGTATACTACACTGCAAAAGTGCGATATATCACCCTCGGAGGGGCACGATGCATCGGTGTGCTGCAGCACGCAATGAGGGTGGTATACTGCACTGCAAGGGTGCAATATATCGCCCTCCGAGGGGCGCGATGCATCGGGTGCTGCAGCACGCAATGAGGGTGGTATACTGCACTGCAAGAGTGTGATATATCACCCTCGGAGGGGCACGATGCATCGGTTGCTGTGGCACGCAATGAGGGTGGTATAC